GTAATCTAAGGCTTCAGTGGTACTTATGTCCTCTTATTTTTCAGCCTATGGACAATTCTCCTACCATACTCAAAAATCAGTAGTCATTTCCCATCAATTTGACGCAGGAAACATAAAATACCATGCATATAAAAGCATCCAAATGGGTAAAATTGAGGATGTTTTTTTTTTTTAAAAAAAGTCTACCTTTCATTATAGCTCTCAAGCACTCTCAATAATGTTAATATTGCCTCCAAAAGGTTTCCTACCTCACATTAGAAAGTTGGAAGAATAGAGAAGCATCCAGTTAGTTTATCGTGCATTTCCACTGCATTGCTCTTAACCGTGCAGTTATTAACCAAGCTGTCCACTTGACAGCTTGGGTGCCACCCAGATTTGGCATTGGAGAGAAAAATTCTTCCTTTTGCAGGATTGGAATTTCCACCTGTTCTTTGACGAAAGCCATTTTGTAATTTAAGTGTGCTTTCTATCAGTTCGCTTGGACAGTTGGAAAGATGGCAGAAAGAATCTGGGTTATGCTGAAATGAAACCTGGAAGTATAACCAAGCTAGAACTGAAGAACAGTCCTCTACAACTGAGGTTCTTAATTCTTTATTCTTTTTTTTTTTAAATATAATTTTTATTAAACATTATTACCTTTAAAAAACAGGAAGAAAAATACAGCGACATAAATACAACGACATAAGCAAGACAAATCATACATAACAATATAAAGTAAAACATACAGATACAAATGCCGTTTTAAACATACAACCCCCCTCCCCCCCCCCACAGTGACAGTCATTCACAGCCCAGTTTTCCTTTCTTTCCTCATTATTAGGTCTCTAAGCCACATCTTCTCATTGCAAGATTCAGGGATCTATTACGGTACCTATGTTAACTTTCCCCATTTTAAGTCCCTGCTGTTCTCCTAGTCGCCCACATATACCATAGGTTCCAGCTAAGATAGTGTTCTGTTTCTCCTTTGTCCCTCAGCCAACCCGTCATTCTGTCCATTTCTGCACATTCATAGATCTTTTTAATTAAAGCATCTTCCGGCGGTATAGTGGTGGATTTCCAAAGTTGTGCATAGGTTATTCTTGCAGCCACAATTATATGCAGGCTCAAATGCCATATTGAACTGCTTATGTTATCTGGTTTGATGCTTAGTAACAGGTTCTCAGGTCTCCATTCAATGTTTGCCCCGGTAACCTCTTTTAACCATTTTTTAATCCTTTTCCAATATTTCGTGGCCTCAGTACAGGACCACCAAATATGGTAGAATGTGCCATCCTTTCTTCCACATTTCCAACACAATGGAGATAACCCAGGAAACATCTTAGCTAACCTCGTTGGGGGGAAGTGCCACCTATAAACCATCTTGTATATGTTTTCTTTGAATGCAGTGGATGTTGTAAGTTTAATGGTCTTACTCCATAGATCCCACCATTTGCCCATTTCAATTTCATAACCTAGGTAATTCTTTATTCTTAATAGCTTAGGTACTCTGTACTCTATAAAAGGAAGCAGTGTTCACTGTTTATTGTCTCTGAACTTAAATTTAATCTGCAGGTTCCCCCTTTCTATTTCTGAGTCTACAGACATCCTCAGAAGATGTAATTAGCTGACCCAAGATTGTCTGCTTCTAAAGCCAGTCGCTTACGAATTTAATCTTTGCGTAGAGCCAGTAGTGAACATATCCTTCCTTGGCCTAACTAGGTCTGATTTTCAGCTTAGAGTTCATGAGCATGGATTGGAAAGTAAGCCATCCAATAGGACTGCCGTGGACAACTTTTTGGTGGCTGAAACAGATTCCTTTTTCATCTGGCAGCCAAATTACTGTGGGTAGGAAATGGTTTGGTGATGCAGATGGTTGGGTTCAGCCTTCTCAATGCTATTTGTATCCGAAAATCAGGAGGAAATTGCACTCAGTTTATTTCTGCTTTGCCACTGAATTTTCAGGGATTTCTGAGCATTAAAAAAAAGGGGGGGGACTTTTCATGAGAATCCCCTCTAGGATTCAGGAGCGACCTTATATTTGGGTTCAGAGTTGCCTCTCAAATTATGTACATGTTATGACTAGAAACTCAAAAAGATTTAAACCAAACAAGGTTCCCCCCCCCCCCAGATCTTATAATTAATAATAGCAACACTTCAAGATGTTTCTGTAAAGAGAAAGAGGCAAAGTGCTGGCATTGTGACAGCAGAGATTTCCATATTTGTGTTATACTAAGATCTCTTATATGGCTTTTCTCTGTTTGCGGGGGAGGGTGGAATAATTGAAGAGAAGGAGGAATATCCAGTGTTTGTTTTTCTATTGCTATCTAGCTGGTGAAGAGGAGGGGGGCACATGTGTGTCACCTCACACACAATATTGTGCATGTTGCAGCTGATAATTGCCTTTTTTGGAACCTGTTCCATACGGAGTTGTTGAAACAAGAAGTGCTAAAGAATGAAGTTATTGTGGCTGAAGATTGACCATTTCCCTCCTTTGTGAGTTATGGAAGCTTTCAACCCTGAGAATGTCCAGTTCTGTATACAAATCTAGGAAAGAGAAGGCTGGCTCTTTAGTTGGTACAGCAGGAAGGAAATGAGGCTTCAAAATTCGCCCTTGCACCCCATAGTCCCTCCTCCAGTTGAGTCAGAGAAATCTCATTCACAATTCTGCAGCTGTGATTAGAATTCCTCCAAAGGAAAGCTTTTTCAAAGTTGCATTTACAGTATTGGCTGTCGACTTGGTTCGCCAATGCAGCTTCCTTTTTCCTTCCTTCCTTCCCTCCCCCTCCAATTGATAATGTTCTTTTGTAAGATGTCAGGGGAGGTTTAAATACTTCATAACAAGGCAAAGGATCAAGATCTCTGTGGTTTTAAAAAGAGAACTTGATGACTTTCCAAAAAATATTTCGTCTGAGTTTAAATCTAGACTCCACTTGGCAGAGCCAGGGAAAAAAAAACATTCTTAGCTTCCTAAGAGGCAGGATCCGGTTCTCAAACATTGCAAATGCCCAAGGGAACATTTCAGATTCCCTGTATAAGCACAGTGGCCCAGCATTAGGAGGGATTTCATTAAATGTTTTAGTTTTTCAGTGGTTAGATGCTAAAATAAGAAAGATTTCTATAATGTTCACTTTGGATTTCTGAGTCATGACTATTTTCTTCCTATGTCAGAATCCTAGAAGTTTGTTAAAAATGGGAAGTTACCCTCCATTCCATTTACTTGGTTGTAAATTAATCCATTATTAATCTTTCCACTTTCTCTTTGGTTTATAACCACTTATGCTGTCGGTCACATGTTCAAATCATTTTTGAGTATCCCAAAACAAAAGACTGCATCTCCCAGTATCACAACAGGACATGATGATCCTGATATCCTATCTTTGTCATTTTCTGAGGCTTTTTGTTTTGGGCCATTCAGAATAGATTCTCCGTACTGTAGCTTATAGCACAGGAGTTAGTGAGTAAAGACATTTTAAAGGCATTTTAAGTGTTGTAGCAATAAAATGAGGAGAACCAAAGATACTGTTAATGTTTTCTGCCTTTTTGTCTCCTGAGTTATACATACCTTAAAGGGGCATTTTCACTATGGAAATCTGATTTAGGATATACTGTGTATTGACTATGTCTTCCTTAAATGGCAGGAAACTATACCATTGTTTTTTAAATCATTCTTTTGTAAGCAACTGCTTAGGATCTATAAAATAGATCTGGTTGTGCTCGTGCTTCTTCTGCTCACCAACTATGACATAAATGGTTGAACAGTCTGTTTTGATCCAACTTAATAGCAGCAGATATCAAGGCTTGGGAATCCATTTGACCCTAGACTAGACCCTACTGATCTGTGAATTAATCTACTGTGAAAAAATAGATATCCAATGTGACAATATGATGTTTAAAACACTGTATTTTTTTTTTGCAAAAGATGAAAGCAAGCTCCAGTTCCTTTTATGATATCCAAATATGGAGCAAAGTAATGGACAATGCTGAGTCATTTGGGGTGACAGCCTTAGTTCTCTTTGACAGGATACAAAGGTGGCAAAACATATAATTACTCCTGTGTTTATCTCCATCGAGAGACCTCACAAATAGGAGAGTTGTTTTCTAATTGTTGAAATTACTTGTTGTTTTTTTCTAGGCGCTATATACACTAGTGAAAAATATCCCTTCATTCCATATTTATAAAATATTAAGCCATTTTAAAGTGAGGTGACTGTGAGATTATCCAAGATTTCTTTTTTTCGTGGAAACAGTTACCAATGAATAAAAAAAATTATCAAAATAAGCTTACAGTATTTTATGAAGGCAGTTTAAATTTCTTTGGAACTGCTTTCAATTGTATCTAAGCCCAAACCTGCTGGCTTACATATAAGCAAAATTGAGAGACTTTCTCTCATATCTCGGCATAGTTCTCTTTTCACCCAATTCCTTGTTTTCTAGTGGCAGTTTTCAGCACATCATTGGACAACAGTAAGTAAGCAGGTCTTCCTACATATTAGAGCATATAAACAGACCAGTGCAATCTACTGTGTGGTTCTTCCACTTAAATATGCCATAAATATGAAGTTGGTGTCAATTGGTTGTCATGTTGCATCCCCAAAATATTAGTATTCATTCATCAGTTTTTGAACCGAACACAGCTAACCTTATGTTTTTTACAAGTGGAAAATATGGGCCTATAAATTAACAAAGTTGGCACAGTTAGAGCAATAATTACTATCAGCCTGACAAATATTTGCCTCTATGCTCTTGCACCAGCCAAGATGGGCTGATTTTGCCTTCTTCCAGCCTAGGAATTCTTTTTTTTTTTTTACTCTGACTGGAATCTTTGCATTGTTCTAAACAAACATTTCTTGGCACTTGCTATATATGGCAGCCTGCAGTTGCTTCCCAAAAATGTGTCCAGGAATTTGCAGATTATGGAGGGCTTGGTGTGAGGATGGGTTTCTGTCTCGATATGATCATATTCTCTCTTACTAACATTTGTCTCCTCTTCCTTCTCTCTCTCTCTCCTCTCTCTTTTAAAGACTGTCAGCATCAACAAGGCCATTAATGCTCAGGAAGTTGCTGTCAAAGAGAAACATGCCAGAAATATCCTTTTAAAATTAGAACTCTGGAAAAAGGATGCTGAAGCTGGAAAGGTGGGATATATCTGGCTAGAGTCAAATTCCATCATGACATGCCTGTGACAGATTGGAATGAAATACCTGCATTATAGTTTGAAAAGGACTTGCTCCTAATTTTTCTTTGTAGAAAAGTACATTCTGTGACAGTGTGCACACACACACACATGAAAAAGAATATGTGAGCAAGATTTGAGTTTTAAGACACGCACACATTTAAAACAAGTACATAATTTTTCTCCAAGATTCTTAGCTTGAGTATAGCAGATCTTTACCCTGAGAAGTCATCAGTTCCTGGAATAGCTGAGATATTTTCTCACATCTGGAAGGATAATTGACAACTCCTAATGAAAGAAACTCCAGCTTGGTATGGATGACATAATAACTACAATAGATCAGAGCTTTTCCCTGTGTATCTTCAGGCTAGTTTCCCATCTGGAGTTCTGTAATTCTTATCATGTTGCTGGAAAATGAAAGAAAAGGATATATCTGTGGATTTAGTCCAGTAATATTAAGATAGATCTGGTAGAACTTGATTTTCCAAGCCTCACTTCCATCCGGCTCATTGACACTCTTTCTTCACGTTATTCTATACCCTTTGTGCTGCTTTTCTCTCATTTTCCTTAGCTTGTCTCTCACCATGCATCCTGGGAACACACCACGAAAAAGGAGCCCACACCTTCTGGTCTGTTGTAAACCGCCTACCCCTTTCCAGCAATGCTGTCCTGTGTTGGAAGTTTTGCCATGTCTTCCACAAGCTTCTCCGTGATGGACACCCAAATGTAAGGATATATCCTTTCTTTCTCTAAAACTTTTGGGTTTTTTAGTAAGATGAAATAAGTAGCATATCTCAATATAATGTCACCAATAAAATCCTAAATAAACCTGGCAAAATCTAAACTGTGTAATAGAAATGACTTTAAGAGATAGTAAGGGCATCTTTAGATCAAATAGGAGGAATATAATGATTAATTTTTGAACTTGTTTGTTATAGAATATGTTCAGATTTAATATAATAATTTCTTAATGTAATGAGCCATATTGTTTTAACAGTTTATTTTGCCCTACACAAACCTCATTTTTCAATTCTTGAGACTTCACTTTATGACAGTTGCAAATACTAATACAATAAAGACATAATGTTTAATCATGGTTAATATTAACTAATGTTTGTTGTCTTACTCCAGATTATAATTCTAAATTCCAAATCCAACAAAAAGAACATTATTTAACGTATTGAACAAAACTATCCCTGATGATACCAGGAAACATCTGTACAATGAAAAGTACAAAGCTGGTGCTCTGGTTATTTTCCTATGTGCCAGTTAAATATTTAAACATACCCATTATTGCAAGATCTAAAACCCCTTTCCAGTTTATAATTTATAGCCAATCCTTAATAGTAGCTCAGATGTCGGTATATAATAGGCATATAATAGTTATTGAAGCAAAGCCAACCATTCTTCTCTCTACATGCCCTCCCCTTTTCTTTCAGTTGACAATACTAAACAGTCGATTAACCTCTTAGATTCATTTTTTTCCTGGTGGTTCTGTTGACCTGGAGGCATTTGACAGCTGCTCAAATAGCCTATTTCCCTTCTTTTTGCAGGTCTTGAAGGATTCTGTGAGATACAAGAATGAGCTCAGTGATATGAGCCGCATGTGGGTAAGTATTATTTGTGCCTACAAAGAACTGCTTCTCTTAGTAATAAATTTACCTTTCAAAGTTCTTGTTCATTTTGAAATCAGGGGAGCATAGAGTTGTTTTAGGCCATTTGGGTAATGTAATATATTTTCTGAAAATTTAGGCTAGGGAAAGTCCACAGATCTGTGAGCTGAATTTAGACAAATGTGGCAAACTTTGGCCATGTTGAGGATGGAAGATATAGCATTTTTTGATGTGTTTGTTTTGCTATTTTTGTTGTTGAATCCATACCGAATGGGAAGCAGTATTTGCATTGCATGTCCTAGCTGCTAATAGTTTCCTAGCTTTACTGGTCTGCCTATCTTTTTCTTGCTGGCCAGTTTCTTGAGTGTTTAGTAGCTCTGAAGAAATGCTAACTCGGGTGAAGGAAGGGACTACACATTAGAGTGTGTGGGTTTTCCTTTAAGGGACACTGAAATCTTAGGATTGAATAAATTTTGTTAACTTTTTTAATATTTAGAAAGAAATAGATTAATTTATTATTAACTGTAATAAAAAACAAACTGGTACTCAAAACCTCTCTTCCTATCCCTGCTCTTAGCAGGTGTGTTAGAGGTCTCTGTGCCAATTTAGCATGTAGACTTTTCTCAAGCGTTGAAAGTGTTAATTGCCTTCTGGATGATATTAGTTGCAGCACTATTTCACAGGTTTTTATTTTTATAACTAAACAGGATACTATATAGAGAATTTAAAATATGTATAGCTTTATTTTAAATATACTGTTGTAGCTTTAACAGCTATTTGCACAAGAATTTGATGGGTGAAAGGTAGCTAAGTAGAGAATATATGTATCTTTTTCCTCTGAAAAGCGGGAAGGTATAAATGCCAAGGAAATTGACCCATTGATGGCAGCAGTAGACCCCTGCTTCTGAGTTTGCCCCAAAATGCGGGCAGTTTGTAAGGTTCTTAAAAACTATTTCTGCATGGCTGATAACTCCCTATTACGATAAGAGTGTTTTGGTAGATATGGATATGGTCTAATCAGCACAACATTTGTGGAGATCAGTGATAGACACTGTCAATGATGCCATACCAGTGTGGATAAGAGAAGAAAAAGTAAAATATACATTTAACATATGTGTCCTGAAATAATGGTCAAGGTGGTTATGATACATTTTACACAAAGGGCTATGAACTATGTTCTCCCCAGTTTAAAATATTGTGCAAGTACAGCTATTAAGACAGAGTTCTCCAGCCTTTCCAGCTTTGCAGATCATTGGGGGTTGGGGAGGGGGGATGGTTCTGCACGAGGGGTGCACAAGTGCATGCTGCTCCATTTGCACGAGTGGCAGGCATGTGCACCCAACACTCATGTAAGTGGAGCACATGCGTTGACCTGCTGCTTGTTCAAGTAGGGATGCACACGGGCTTGCTCACTGCTTCAGGCGCCTGGTTTTAAATTTTTCCTGGCCCAGTAATGGGGCCGGAGGTTGGGGATCCGTTTATTAAAAGTTTAATCCAGCCTTGTTATTTTATTTTTTTTCCTTAGGGCCATTTGAGTGAGGGTTATGGACAATTATGTAGCATCTACCTCAAATTGCTGAGAACCAAGATGGAATTCCACACAAAAGCAAGTTTTTATTTATTGCTTCTGCACTTATCTTGGAGAACAGGGTATCTCACCATTTTATTTTTCTCTGCAAAGCCCTTTGCATAGCTATAGAGACCATGGGATAAACAGTAGCCTGAACTTGGTGTCCAAACTAGGTTAGAAGTAGGAGCAACTTCCCTGATGAAAACCATAGAGTTAAACTAATTTATAAATAAGATTCCAGAGTTTTTAAGAGCATATCATAGGCTTTATTTGTATCATTCATTTTGAAGAAAACAGAATATTCTGGAATATGTCTGTGTAATTTGTAGTCCTGGTTGCTTTTATTGAAGGATATAGCAATCGGTACTCTTTTGACTGCTCTGAAGATTTGTAGTACGGTACTAATTTATTGATCCCATAGATAATGTGCTAGAGAGAATGGTCTACTACATTCTAAATGTTGTTTTTTAATCTGATTGTTATTTTTGCAGTATACTCCAACATCTGATACAGGCTGGTCTTGCTAGCATTTTAATATCAGAATTGTCTAATCAATATCTCTGCCTGCTTGAGCAGAATTTCTTCTTTCACATACAGAGAAAGTTTTCCCCAAATTTCTCACCATAGTATTGCCTATTCTCATGATTAATACAGCCAAATATATTTCCCCTATATATCTTAGAGGAAGATATGGATCAGTCATTTCAGATTCTCTGATCTGTAAGTGTTGTGACTCCAGGTACGTGATTTTAGATTCAGAATGGTTGATTATAGGAGGATAAAGAGGACTGTGATACATCCATACGTGTGTATATTCACTTGTAAATAAAGCACATATGAGTGAATTATGCATAGCAGTGTGGTTGGATCCCCCCCACACACACACACATTATCTGTCTCTTATCATTGGTATATGGTCCTCTTAATGTTATCCTATAGGTTTTCCTTCACTTCTTAACTTGCATTGTAGTTTATATTATGATTAGCTCCAGGCCATCCTATTTGACTCAAGGCTGTATCACATTTGGGAGTGGAGATAGCAGCAGGTATTTATAGAATGGAATGTGGCTACTTGGAATAGGAAGCTTGGATTGTATGAGCATCTTCATAAAGGCAGGCCTCTGATTTATAAGCCGTTTCATAGGCTAGCAAAGTGCAGTTTACATGTATGCGTGAGAGAAGGTAATTCCCTCTTGTGGTTGGAGGATCCCTGTGAATAGAAGAACAGTAATGAATTACTGCTTTTGAATCTCTGGCAAAGCACCAACATATCCAGCTGCCTGGATTATTTAATTCTTTTGAGATTCTGTTTCCTTAAAGCCTGCATTGTAGGCGAGTCTTTGGTGTTACCATTTTCTTATTTCTTTTGGGATTGCTGTTTAGGATTCCCTATCATTAATAAATGTGTTTTTTTGTCTCCTCTGCATTCCAAAATGAGATTCAATTTAAGAATAGAGTGAGGGAAGGAGATATATATATGCTTCTTCTATATATAAAGCCTTATAAAGTGGTTAAATTGCCCGCCAGAATTTTTCTCATCCCAACCATCCTCTTTGCTTTTTGGGCACCGGAACTGAGATGAATCTGAAAACAGTAATATGCAGGAGCATGTTATCCAGACCTGCCTTGATCCAGAGCCTTAGTACTGTTCTTAATCTTTGTTTCCTTTTATGTAGAATCCCAGATTCCCTGGAAACCTCCAGATGTCAGACAGACAGCTTGATGAGACAGGCGAGAATGATGTGAATAACTTGTAAGTGCTACTTGGTGGTGCGAATTATGGGGCAGTTGTGGATTTAAGAAAGCACAATTCGTTTGTGGGGTTCTTTCTCAGGTAAACCAGAAAGATTAAAAATCAGGTTGTATGCAGCCCCTGTGGGCTCTTCCAGAGTTTTCCTTCTCAATATTGTTGGATTGCTGTGTAGAATATTGTTAGTTCTCTCTTGGACAACAAAGCCACAAAGTGATTCTGCCAAGTTGAACCTTCATTTTATTTTGTAGGAGTCTCTATTCAGTCTCTTCTTTCCATTTTAGTTTCCAGCTCACTGTGGAAATGTTTGACTATTTGGAATGTGAACTCAACCTATTTCAGACAGGTAACGTTTTACAGAGGACAACAATTTTAAATATTATAGCAAGATACTTTCCAGAAATTGTTTGTTCACTCTTCGTAAGTTCTGACACACACACATTTTCATTTCTCTAATGGGGATTATGGCTTATAAGAAGTTATCCTAAACTTTCTTCTGTTCCAGTGTAAATAAACAAGCAATTCAGTTGATGGTAGAGAAAACCGAGGTTAGGAAACTAATTATGTTACATATGAACCCCAATTCCCAGCATCCACAACAAGGTGATCAATTCTGAGATATCCTGAGAAATTTAGGGGCATTGAGAGGGTTGTGAATTCATCATCCTGACTAATATGAAAAAAATATCATGTTTCTGCTCATTGGTTAAATGTAACCTAAATAATAAAATTCATATATTGTGAGGCTAGGCAGTTGGATTATACAGGCATCTTGTTTGGCTTTTTTCCACATAACCCAAAGCCTTTTTCAGCTGCAGATTTTTGTGATGCTTCTGTGCTTGTTCTGCAGATAAGCCTAGCATCAAAAAGAATATTTTAACATCAATGTTTCATAATTTTGTACACTTTAGAATAAGAGGAGTAAATACATCCTTTCCAGATGTCTTAGACTATCAAGTAGGCTTCAGGCTGGGAAAAGGATCCTTCCCCTGCTTCTCTGTCTCCTCCTGCTACTAAGATGGGTACCTTGCATATCTTGGTTCATGACACAGAATTTGCCTACTTCTGATGTGTGGCCACTATCTGTCCCTTTCCACATTCGTTCACTCTTTCTCTTGAGCAACAACAGTCGCTGCAAATTACTTAGCACTCTGAATCTCACGGAACAGACTTTTGCTCTCTGTTACTATAGGCGGTTCTGTAGAACCGTGAAAGATGTTTTAATAACGTATACTTCTTGACTTTTACTGTTTAGGAATTAAATCAGTTCTTCAGTTTTTAATGTCAGTAAATCCTTGCTCTTGGTTGACATTTTTTTAAAGCTCTTTCTGCTCATTGCTTGTACCCTCCTCATGCTGCATAATTTCCAGGCCCTCGTGTGATTTTTTTTTTTGTATTCTCATTTTTTGCTTTCCTTGTCATATACATTCAGTTCTAGGGCAGATTGTGTGGCCCAGGGTCAATGACTTCCATGAACCTATTTGTGTACCCCAAGTTTATAATTGAGACTGATGTACTTTGCCTTGGAGAGCTTTGACAGCTAAAACAAGTGTCTTTAACATTTGCAGAGAGGTAAAGCAGCCCTAAGATCTCTAGCTGTTTCCCCCTCCCCCCCAACACCCTAAGTCAATCTTTCCCTTGTTTTTAACTTCACCTTTAACTTTTACTCTCTTTTTTGGGAGCAATTTCCCTCAAATTTAAATTTGTTAACTTTTTTTATTACTACTCGGTAGATTCTGTGGCCCTCTTTAGAATATTGTTATTTATGGCATTTCTGGAGGGGTTTCCCCCCCCCATGTGATTAGAACATGAATTTGTCCACCCTGTCAAGATAATTGAAATAATCCATGGTGCTGGTGTGGTTCCCCTTCAGTGTTCAGTTCCTTGGACATGTCTCGCTCTGTGTCGGTCACAGCTGCCGGGCAGTGCCGCTTGGCCCCTCTGATTCAGGTCATTCTAGACTGCAGCCACCTCTATGACTACACAGTAAAATTGCTGTTCAAGTTACACTCCTGTAAGTACAAATTTATCTATTCCTTTTTGTCCTGAATTCCATCACCACTTTCATTCTTTTTTAGCTACTGTAATTAAGATGACCAGGACACCCCATCTGATCACCTACAAGATGGTACTACTATTCAGTGAAAAAATGTCCTTAATTAATCATATTTTGGTTTTGTTTAAATTTTGAAATTGTTTCACAAACATATTTTAGAAATACGGTCTCACCTGAGATGGGCCAGTATTATTGTTTTCATATTGGATTTGTTTCTTTACTTTTTAAAAAATTTCAGCGAGGGCAGAGGAAAGGTGATAAAGTAAGATATAATTAAATATGATGTGAATCATTCATTCAATTATTCTGAGTGTCTTAAAACATGAGTTATAATAGGAGACGGTGATGGTTTTTACCATATGCAGTATATCACAAAGTAAATTGAGAGACCCTCGATCTGAGCTTAAGAGAAAGGGTTTTAAAGGCAGAGGATGTAAAGATCCGTTGTAGCATCGTGCAACCTGAAAAGATAGGCATTATATATATACTGTATATCAGTGTTTCTCAACCTTGGCAACTTGAAGATGTCCGGACTTTAACTCCCAGAATTCCCCAGCCAGCATTCGCTGGCTGGGGAATTCTGGGAGTTGAAGTCCGGACATCTTCAAGTTGCCAAGGTTGAGAAACACTGATTTAGAGACTTATCTAACTCCACGTGATTCTGGGGCAGTTTCACTTTTAAGAGCTGGCTGGGGAATTCTGGGAGTTGAAGTCCGGACATCTTCAAGTTGCCAAGGTTGAGAAACACTGATTTAGAGACTTATCTGACTCCACGTGATTCTGGGGCAGTTTCACTTTTAAGAGCAAGGACAGTAAAATAGCACAAGAACATAGGCATCCAGAAGGTGACCACACTTAGACAAAATTCACAAGGCCAATTTTGCAGTGACTTCTGAACATCACCAGGGTGGGACCCAAATGGCTGTCTGGGGAATATTGTTCCTGAGGGCAGGTGCTGTGCCAGATGTTTCTTGGAAAGCTGTTGCCGTAAACTTGGCTTGCTTCGCTCCCGGAGTTTTTACAAGGAATCCAGATGTTTTCCATTGGCCGTACTGTTTTTCTCACAACTGCCACTGATGAGGGCAAGACCAGCGCTCTGCTTAGCGTCAAGTTGGCAGCATCTATGAATGAAGCCCTGCCTCTCACACGGCTCCATTGTCTTCATTAATCTGAGCATTA